CCTTGTATATTAGGAAAAAGATTTATGTAATTTCCCAAATGAGGGGTCAAAGTTGACGTAGTGCTTGCCCGTGGAGGGCCATGTGTAAACGTATGGAGTGAGGGTCTAGTGAGGGCAGTGTGTAGAGGTATCCTAGCATAATGCTCAATGTCAGTCCTGCTGCTGGATGGAGAAATAGGGCTGTATGAGGTGTACGGATGTATAGAAGGAACACAATAAGGAAAAGTTTACCAAGGTGTAGAAATAGAAAAATAAGGGCAGTAAATAGTACAACCAAAAGAAGATTAGTAGCAAAACCAAAACTAAAAAAAAAGAGCTACTATATCTAACAGAAGGTCATAAATAGGAAAAATGTGTCTGTATGCCGGGTAAGGGGTATTAACCCTATAAGACAGATAAGGAGTACATAAAGCGTTCCACTTAAGTGGAATATCTTACTGCCAAGCAGAAACTAATAAGGGGTAGATAATTTAAGAGAGTGCTCCTAATCAAAGCTCGTTACCTGTATAAAAGACAGCTGGGAGTCAGCTGACGTCCATAGGAAAGCACTGAGAAATGCTTTCTTATGGACTGACTGAATGCGCGTGCGGCTCTTGCCGCACATGCGCATTCAAAGCTGACATCGGGAGAGGGAGGAGAGTTCCCCAGCAATGAGGGAGCCCGGCGCTGGAGAAAGTTAAGAGTTTAACCCCTTCTGCCCCCTTCAACACGGCGGAAGGGGAGCCATGAGGGTGGGGGGGACCTAAATACCCTATAGTGCCAGGAAAACAAGATAATGTACATAATGAGGGATTTCAGTTACCCCATGAGATTGGCCAAATGAGGGTCTTAATGATGGGTATGTTGTCGATAACATGTAGTATAATGGTGTAGTATGAAATGCCCAAATGAGGTGCCAAATTTGGACATGAGGTGCTGAATTAGCACATTGTAAAGGTTTAGTGATGTCCATGAGTAGGAAATATGCGTATACCGGAAGGTGTCCCAATTTGGATCCTGATTTACAGGGTGGCTGTGCGGGCTATATTGGGATTAATGTGGGTGAAGGTTGGATGTGAATCAGAATTGATAGTTGAAGTAAGACAGTGAGAGTAATCACAATACCTGAGCCGGCCTAATGACATGACTGTCACGTACTAGTAGACAATAAATCATAAAATGCAGTAATCTAATTGAAAGCTTATACCAGGTGGTAGAGGCCCTGTAGCAGTCCTGTAGTGCAGACTTCAGCACAAATAGACACTTCTATGTGCAAACCTAGATAAACCACCCTGTATCCAAACATACAACAGGTCCTATCACTCAGCTTGGTCAGCCCAGCCTTGCAAAGGCTTCTCATTGACCTGCACTGGTAAGTCTGTGATTTGACAGCCACAGATTGCCTGGACGGGGTTAGAAGGGGAGGGCATACAAAAGCAGCAGACAAGAGCACTGCAGGTTTTCAAGCTGTTCTTTTTAGATTACACCCCAATGAAAATTACATAAATAAATGCATGCATGTTGTCTTTTGGGGAAATCCACTAAACAGTGATTTCCACTTATTTTGTGTTTAGTGCAGTGGCGTGTCTCTTCGAAGTATTAAAGTACCTTTGGGCAAATATGTGATAAAACAGGACAACATTAGCATGCCAGAATTAGAAATGGTCTAAATATGCAGGGATGTCTTAGTATTTAGTAAACATGCAATATACAAATCAGTGAAAAAAAAAGAGATTATACAGACATTCAGTAGCAACACCTAGCCACATAATAAATAAACAATGTAGACTCAATGAGTGCCTGAATACACAGAGCCAGACAAAGAAAACATTAAAATGTAAGGTGACGAACTGAAATGCATATGATAAAAGTTGATATGGCCTAGTTATTGCCAAATACAGTAAGCAAAGTAAAGCATCATTGTGATGCAATGTACGATTGAAATAAGCTGAATTTACATTAGTAGTAAAATTTGCCATAACTGAATGGACGAACAAACAAACTTACGGTTTTGTTGAAAAAAAAAAAGAAACCGGCGTGGCCAGACACGGCGGTGCATCATGAGCTTCTAGGGAGACAGCTGTTTACTAGAGTGAGGTAAAATGAATACTTGCGTGAGCCACACTAGTCCAAGACCAGCTATTTTGGAGTTTAGGTAGTTGGTGTTGATGACCTTTGAACCGGAAGTAGATGGTTCTGTACTGAACCAGACAATCTCAGCCCAGAGGAAGCGGCTGCCTGTGTACTTACAGGACGGAATAACCCTTCCCACAACTACAGGCTCAGCCTTTCCATATATTAACATTAAAATACAGTTAGAATGATTTTTATAAAAAGGCGTCACTATTTCAGTCCAGGGCCAGCGTGGGAAGGTCTTCTACTTTGTCGGCCGTTCACAAAAAAGGGAGCTGTTGGCTCTTCAACGAAAGCCAGTCCAAGTGGGGGGGCAGCTTGCCGTCACAAGCATAAATGTTCCAGATGTGGGGGTGTGCATGGATACAATCGATGTTTCAAACGTAGTAATTCTACTGCATCTGGGGGCACACAGGGAGCTCCTGGGGTTGTAGGTGAAGGTCAGTGCGATGTTTCTGTGGCTAAGCAGCTACGGTAATCAGGAGGGTGCAGCTCTGCTCAGGGACAGTTTCACGGAAGGTTTCATCATTCCTTATCAGGATCGGGTGGTTGTCACCTCCGTAATTTGAAGTTGCAGGGGGAATTTCCTGACATTACATAGGATAAGATTTTAAGGAAGGGCAGCTGGGGAGGATGGCTGGGCCATTTTGGGAACCCCCGTTGCACGATCTTCGGGTATCACCGTTGGAGATGGTGCACAAGAAGGAACCCGGTAAGTACTGGCTTATACACCATTTATCGTATCTGCAGGGTTCGTCAGTGAACGATGATATTGACAAGGCCCTTTGCTCGGTGTCGTATGCATCATTCAACCAAGCGGTCAAGTTGGTTTGGCATGTGGGAAAAGGGGTGTTGCTGACCAAGGCAGATGTGGAAGTAGCCTTTTGGCTGTTGGCCATTCACCCAGACTGTCACCATCTGTTAGGCAGTTTTTTTGAAGGGCAGTATTTTGTTGATCTCTGTCTTCCCATGGGGTGTTCCATCTCATGTGCATACTTTGAGAAATTCAGTACGTTCCTGGAATGGGTGGTCAAAGTGGAAGCTTGTGGTTCATTACCTTGATGATTTCCTTTGTGTTGGGCCTGCGGGCTCAGAGGGGTGTCGGATAGGATTAAGGATGCTGGAATGGGTGGTTAGTTACCTTGAGGGCCCTTCAGCCATTGGTGGGCCAGCTTAACTTTGCATGTCGGATTATCCCGGTGTTTAACAGTTTACTAGCAAAAGCAACTAGCAGGGTCACTACCCCCCATCATTTCATACAGGTGTCGCCATCCATGAAGGCTGTTTTGGATGTCTGAGCATTTTTTCTCCCGGATTTTAATGGACGGGGGTACTTTCGGGAACCGGTGGTTTCTTCATCTGAATTGGAACTGTTCACTGATGCGTCGGGCAGTCTTGGGTTTGGAACATTTTTTGCAGGGTGCTGGTGTGCAGAACCATGGCCAGAGGAGTGGAAGACCATTCCTCTCATTCGTAATTTGGCATTCTTGGAGTTCTTCCCCTTGGTGGTGGCCTTGGTGTTATGAGGTCACCTGTTGCATGACAAAAAGGTTATCTTCTTCACTGACAACATGTCGGTGGTGGAGACACTTAATAGGTTGTCTGCTTCTTCTATCCATGTCATTCGGCTTCTTCACTGCTTCGTATTGGTTTGCATGCATTTCAATGCTGTGTTCCGCGTGCGGTACACTCCAGGGTTGCAGGTGTCGTGGCTGATTTGCTTTCTCATTTTCAGTGGGAGCGGTTCCGGGAAGCGGCTCCGGGCATGTAGGAGGAAGGAATGCCATGTCCGGAGTAGGTGTAGCGGCTCGGGACCTCTTGCTTGGAGGACTCAATAAGGTGGTCGATGGTGCCGTCTACTAAAAGGTTTAGAAACACTGGGACGAGGCTATGGTATGTGCGGGGGGGGGGGGGTCTGGAATCGGAGGTGGTGCGTTTTGACACGCTGTTATGGTTCTTGTGCTGGTTATTGCACAGGCGTCACGCCAGGAATCCCAGGGCAGTGGCCAAGAGCAGAGGGAATGTGAATACGTTGTTGGCTACTTATGTTAGACGGTTTGGGGGTGTGGTGGTTCGGCACCAAGAGTTGGAAGCACAGCTTGCAGGTTATTATAGGAAGCATGTGGGTATAGATTTCTTGTTGTTAGGATTTCAGGTGGGTTTCCAGCAGGCTTTGTTTTTGGTGGGTCGTTCAGGTAGTTTGAGGTGTTGAGCTCAGAGCTGTGGCGGAGGATTGGATAAACAAGTTGAGGTGTAGGTTGTTTGTACAGATGTAAGATAGATAGTTTGCTAAGAACTGTTAGGTTTGGATAGATATTGGTTGGTTAGAGCTCCGAACCTGGTGTGTGTAGGGTGTATCTTGGTATACTCCTACATGGTGGACCATGGAAAATCATGCCCTCGGTGGCAATGGTTTAAGTGGTTAGATGTTATTTAGATGTTAATATTGTTTGTTTATGGGGAGTCATTGTCAGGGTAGAATTGTTAAAAGAGCTGGGGTTGATATGTCTTGTTAAAATATGGTGACAAGGGGGGCGTGGCCCAGTGCTCGAGCTGCACGGACGCATGGAGGAGTAGCTCCCGCCAATCGAGACACAAGGAGCTACAAATAACTGGTCTACAGAGCGCCCAGCAATTAACAGCATATACAGAGTGACGGTATGTCACAGAGGCAGAAGATGAAATCCGCCAAAGCGGATAAAACAACCTTTTTCCTCGCTAAACCAGCACCGCACCGAGAAGGCTTGGACCAAGATGGCGGCGCCCAGCGCTCGCGAGAAACCTCTCGGCCTCTCCAGGGATAGAGGCAGTGGACGGCCCCCTTAGTGTGGCAACAATGCAAGTAATGATGGCAGACTTATTATATTCAGCTCAGTTTCCAGACTCAAATGCAAACTTTAACAGCTGAACTGAGAAAGGACATTCAAGAGATTGGAAACCGCGCAGCCCACCTAGAGACAAGGGTGGATGAACATTCTGCAGCACATAATTGCCTAGCTTACAAGCTGCAGGAATTAACCAGCAATATGGAAAAGCAGAGCAATAAACTGGCAGACCTGGAAGACAGGTTACGCAGAAATAATCTGCGATTTAGGGGCATTCCTGAAAAAGTAGGCAACAATGACTTGGACAGATACCTGCAAGAGGTATTTCTCCAGTTAACCCCTGAACTACATCCCGATCAATTGATCATTGATAGGGCTCACCGCCTCAGGAGACCTGCCCACTTACCTACATCCTCCACAAGAGACGTCATAGCCAGAATACACTTCTTCCACGCCAAAGAGCGGATACTCCGAGCCACCAGGAATGCAGAGCTGCCTGACAAATTCCGTGACATCAAGATCTTCTCAGACCTTTTGGCAGAAACCCTGCAATTCCGCAAATCGCTAGCCCACATCACCACAGCTCTACGCGGCAAGGTTTAAATTACAGATGGGGATACCCAGCTAAGTTGTTGGTGTACCACCAAGACGCTCTTCACTCCATAGTGACTCCAACACAAGGCACACGCATGCTCAAGGACTGGGGTATCCCACTGACCGAGCAGGCGGCTCCAGGTCCAGCCAAGGTCCCCAGGCTGACGCAGGACTGGTCCACTCACTAAAGTGAGAGGAGTAAGGCAGCGGTGTATGTAAGGTGTTGTTATACTAGACATCCATCCATAAAACCGATATATGCCCCTGCTAGGTTAAAGAGTTAAGAGTATTGCCTACATGTTATAATCTGTTCATTTATGTTTAGTAAAATTTTGCCCCCAGATACTATAACGTGCATTACCGGACAGTGAGACCAAGTCTCGGTTAGATATTGACACTGCCCATAAGCCAGGGTGCGGGGGGGACCGGAACTGGGGCCCAGAAACGTGCATAAAGTCTGCCCAGCACACAAGGCCATGGGTCATGGTGTCTCGCCGCACCCTCCTACAAAGTACTACATGTTATGGATCATTATGCTCCCATGTGCTCCCTATGGTAGGATTCCCTCTCAAGAGATGTGTCCTATGACCGCGACCCCCACAGGCTGTGCACGACCCTCGGCACAGCAAGGCTCAAACCCTATGAGCCAGGTAGAGAAGAACCCCTTCAACCCCTCACTCCCACCCCCTGTTCACGCAGTCCGTGGCTTGCCACAAAATTCACAGCCCACATGCAACCCTTACGAGCAGCCCACAGCCTATGTAGCACAGGAACTCCTACACTCAATGTGGCACAAAGACTGTACCCTATGGTGAACCTAACTGGAAAACGCTTGTTACAAGCACGCCTATGTGCAGCCCAGAGACAAAAGTCAGATAAAAAATTTTTTGAGAATTATGTCATATAATGTCATGGGGCTCAATACCGCGGGTAAAAGAAGACTGTTGCTGCAGGATCTCAAAAAACGCTCTGTAGCAATTGCATGCGTATAGGAAACACATTTTAAAAAGCCCAGAGAGCCAGCCATATTCACGAGATTTTATCCCACGCAATACCATGCCATGTCAGACTCAAAAACGAAAGGGGTCTCCATCCTCATCCACAAGGATGTAGCATTTACCCTACAACACAGCTGCATAGACGACAAAGGTAGATATGTTATCATAGTAGGCCTCTTTAACAACATACAGTATACGTTAGTGGCCACATATTTCTCAAACGATAACCAACCCGCGTTCCTTACCACCCTCCTGAACAAGGTAGACCAATATAAACTTGGGGGACTTATAATGGGGGTGACTTCCACTTCATTCAATCCCCTTCCCTGGATACTACCGCTCCCCTGACAGATAGACGAAAGAAATGTATCCAATAACACTGCAAATCACTTAACCATACCATGTCCCTCTTCGATCTCCATGACAGCTGGAGAATACTACACCCCACAGACAGAGACTATTCGTTTTATTCCAATGCCCACAACACATACACCCGAATTGATACATGTTATATAGACAATGTAGCGCTAGCCCAACTAGAAGACTGTACGATCGGAGACAATCTACATGGGCCAATCTACATGGACCTAAAGGACCAACTCAACCACCAAGGTAAGGGTACGTGGAGATTGAATGAGTCCCTCCTAAAAGATGCACCCTTTGTGGAACAATTAAAGTTAGACCTTCAAGACTACTTCCGCACGAATGTCTCAGATCAAGTCTTGGATTTCACTGTGTGGTCTACCCATAAGGTGGTAATCAGGGGTCAACTCATTAGACAAGCAACATACCTTAAGAAATGACACTAAACAGCTTACTAGAGTGCCATAAACAGATTGCACTGACCACTGCCAAAAACAAACAGTCGCCCACACCAGCATTGGCCTCCAAACTGAAAGCCTTTCACCAGGATCACACCACACTCAATGCACAAAACAAAGCCTAATAGCGCTCAGATCCCACAAACATATTTCAAATGCCATCAAGTCAAAGTTTTAGTTCACCGGCTGTTTGTGCAAATGAACCCGAAAAGAGTTCCATAATTTCAGCTACCTGGGGTTGGTCTCCTTCGTTTATTATGAATATCCCCAAAGCATATTGTTGCCTAACTAAACAAATGGCATGGATGGTGGTGAGCTTCAGCGGTGTTGATCTAAGTAGGTGTCTGAAAATAGTTCCAGAGCGTCGACGACAAACTACCGCTGAGCATTTGGCGATTTAAAATGGCCACCGCCACGTGTTCGGCAACCGAACACCGGTCACCCAGACATTCGACAATTAAGCTGCGGTTAACCACAGCTTCTGGGTGGCTAATAAGCAGCACACGCCACAGACTGGGTGGTCGGCCGTTCGGCAGTTTGTTCATCTGTACGAACAGCCTTAGTCCAGCTGTAATGAAAGTTAAACTGCACAAACCAACATACGAATGTATCAGGGCAAATGTAAAATCCAAGCAAGTAAGGCAAAGGATGCAATCCAGGGACAAAGGGCTCTGTCCCAAGTGCCTTAACACCCAATAACTTAAAGGGCCAGCATCCCAGGGTAAAAGGCTAGCAATCCAGCTTCTCCATAAGACAGGGGGGCAGGGCAGTTTGTCACATGAAACCCCCATGACAAAAGGCATTTTGTCACAAGTTCCACAGATTTGAGCTGTGCAGCCGGTCTATTTTCAATGTTAAAAGTGCACTATAGTACAAATAAGGGTGGGGTCAGAAAATAGCAAGGGCTGACGGGAGATTGAGGAGGGACAACGCAGCCAGTTTAAACTGGTCTGGCAGTGTCCCCGGGACAACGCGCTGCTGGGGAAACAATAGGACAGGAAAAAGTTGGAGGGGAAGAGGCACATTTTCCCATGGAAGTCACTTTTTAACATGTCTTTTAGCCATGGGCTATTGTCACAGGGCAGGAGGCTGGCAATCAGGCCCCTCCAAAAGAAAGTGGTAAAGGGTAGTTGTCACAATCATTTTCCCAAAGAAGGTGTCTGAGTATGCTTGGGGTTTTTGGGGGGGTTAATAACGTATATGCCGAAAAGGCGACTATGCATATGTCATGACTCAGCTGGGTAAAGTTGGTACACTATGTTTTTAAAATGTGAATAAAAACACAGTTAACATTTGTGGATGTTTGGTTTTGGAGATATATAGCATTATATATGATCAAACTCCATCTACTTTACACCACACATTATTAAATTTTAATAACAAATACCATTTGTTTGCACTAATTTGTGCTGCAAAAAATAACATTTGTGCCAGTTTTGTTTTGCAGAAATTAAACATTATATATGATCAAAACCTGCCCACTTTGCACCCCACATTTACATTTTAAAAACAAATATACCATTCATTGTTTCTGTGTTTCCCACCAGACATGGATTTGCAGTGCTCCAAGCAATCACATGACCCTTACACAACAATGGCTTCTCAGTGGATAGTTTTAAACTTTTAGTAGGCATGACTTTCCCTTATATTAATACGGTGGTCTCATTGACACCAGTAAGCATTTTATGTGTTTAATTTATTTTTAACTTTTTTAATGTGGTGACTGACCAGCATACGTGTAACAACCTACTTGTTGATTTGCTTGGAAAGGAAGTCAGTTGCAGTGGAAAGGCAACCCCTTGCAGACATGACCTTCCTATGTGTCTGAGAGTGATCTGGGAAACTGGGAGTTCTATGAGGACGAGTGTCTTTCTTTACATAGAAAGCAATGAAGTCAGAAAGGAGCAGACAGGAAGCGGGAACAGGTGGTTCAGTGGTCTGACTTTCAGTTTGACTCTTGACTTTGCTCCTTTGCTGCAAGTCCTGAAGTATGGAAATCCATGAATTGGGAGCAATATGGTCATAGGTCAGAGACAAGAAGCATAGTATGGGTCAAGGCCAAGGGTCAAAAGAAAACCAAGATGTTTTGGTGGGAATCAGGAAACAGGAACAGGATTCAGGAACCAGGAACAAGATTCAGGAAAAGGACCAGGACAACCAAGCACTAACAAAGTGCAGTGCTTGGGAATTCATAGGCAGAGCAAGTCAGGTGACTGGCCCCCACCCCCTGCAGTTACTATGCCCTTCCCTGATCCTCTCCAAATGCTGCATGCTCATCCATATGGTAGCCACCATCTTGCTGTGTTGGCACCTAAGCGGAGGTGTGCGCTGACAGTGGACTCTGGAGCAAGGAGGGAGAATGGGAGGAGCAGGTGTCTGAGCCCTTTGGAAGCAGTCTCCAGGAAGTCATGGTTGCTACACAACATGTATGTGCATGCGGGCCATGTTACAATGCACTGGAAAATTGTTTAGCCCTCATATCGCAATTGGTTATTTCTATGCTGTTATTATATGCTACTCATGCTGCAAGTGGGCAAATAGTACTTCAAATTATTGTTCACTTGCACAACGGCAAGTGAATGAATATTTGTGAACGTTCATCTTGCTGGATGCATTTGGTCACTATTTAGTTTAAAATAGTTGCTTGGTGTATCCTCCAGATCCTATCCAGTTTAATCTGGATACCGAATGCATAGCTGTGATTTATGCAGGTATGATTGGAGAGACCGAATTTTGACAATACTTGGCTTTAGTAATTATGAGAATTGGAATTTGGTAATTTGGTATTTAGTGAATAACTTCACCAGAGTTCAACATTTCTCCAATTATCATGCAATTGAATAACTAACTTTGAATATCAATAACATATCTCATTGGTTAAAATAATTTTTTACGTGATCAAGAAGTTAAATTATTTAACAAATAAATATTAGAGCTTTTTTTGGTAAATGCCAGTACGTACTGTGCATCAAAACATGTGCTTACTTATTAACACTGTGATAGTACATCTTTTCTTATTATTATTGGTATTTATATAGCACAAACTTAGTCTGCAGTATTTTACAATATTATGAAGGGGGGGAGGGCAATTACAAAATGTTCCAGGAACAATAGGTAGATGAGGACCATACCCAGACAAGCTTACAGTCTAGAGGAGTGGTGTATAAAAACACAATAGGGGGGACAGCAA